ATTCTATGGTTTCGATGCTTTATTTCTTTAACTGACACATTCCTTGGTCCTTTAAAAATAGTGTAATAAATAAAAACTACCTCAATACAAACTGTCTGTCCTTTCCTGAGAACCACAATAAATTCAAACAGTAAAGAGAACAGCAGCTAGGGTAGCCCAGGACATGTGCAGCCTATTTGAGAAGACTAGAAGAGCTTGTCTTGGTCTAGAGACTGTGAAAACATGACTTTTCTTGAGAAACACATTAGCGGGATAAACATTGGTTATGGAAAGAGCTGGTTCGTTAAAGGCCAAATGGATTCACAAATGAGCGTTACAGTCTGACTGGGAATAAACTCAGGCTGGGAATCGCAAGATGATTTTTAATGGCCACAGCACGGAGGTTCAGGAATAGCTCTTCAATAGATGAGGAGAGGATCAGAAAACAGGCTGCTTCAGAATGGACCTGACCAGTTCATGAAAGGAGCTATGACATGGTTGCCCGCAACAGCTGAGGATCATAGTTACTGACCCAATAAGGCCCTATGCAGGCCCTCACAAGCACCAAGCTCCCAGGTCAAAAGGACCCTTTGCTACTCTGCAGGGAGTCAAACGCCAATAATGTCAGCACTACCACGCACACACAGGGATAAACATGATGCTCGTGAGCTGTGGAGTCTCTTTGCCTGTGCACAGCACACTCCCATGCTCTAAGGTCGACCGTGGCCTCTCCAAGCCTACATTCCTATGTCAGACCTATGTGGCTTGTATTTCAGACTCGACTCTTTTTTATTCATTGTCTAAGACAGGAAAATGTTTAAGAGAACTGGAAAGGCCATAGAGACTGTATTTAAACTGCAGTGAAGACTGGTAGAGGGAGAATGGGATTTAACAATCCCTGCATGGCTTTGAAGGAGCTTGAGAATGAAGCAGGTAAGCTACAAAAAACCATGTAATCTGTTATTAGGAGTTAGCCCTAGATGGCTGTAAGTGGTCAATATAGTACCTAAGGATTAATAGCAGGCATTAACTTGGTGGTTATAAAAATAGTTAAAAGCAAGAGATAGGGACAGAACAGCTCTGCTGCCATGTTGTGCTTACTGAGCTGTTTAGGATTCCTGAAAAGTGTGAACAAAAACCAATCAAACAAAAAAGTCCCCAAATGCAATATATTTAAACATCTTAAATCATTTTTGTAAAGCCTTTTGAAAATAAGAAAGCAGCAAAGGAAACTTTAGTGGAAAGCTATCTCATGGATTAGCAACTGGCTTTGCAAACAGAATGCAAAGAATAAGCTTAAATTGCTATTTTCTATGTGCTGACAGATTAATATTGCTGCTACCCAGAATTCAGGAACATAGCTAATACTGGTTCAATGAATATCTTAAGGAGCTGCAGCCAAGTGGGGATTAGAGAAGCAGAAACAATATGTGGGCATTCACTGGGGTTTTTTAACTGCTTAATTAGATTCAGTTTTTTCCCCGAGAGGACCTGAAGAGGGAGCAAAATGCCACTGTATTTTTCATTGAGAGTTTTTTCATTGCAATCTTCTAAGCTGTCCCATTAAGAGATCAGATATATTCCCCTCTCCCTTCAAGCAAATCGCCAGAGTTCAGGAGACTGCCAGGTACATACACTGAATACACGGCGCAAACAGAACCATGCTTCCAGCTAGTCATTATCCTCTGGACTTTCCTTTACAGGAAGAGATACTAGCAAAGAATTATGGCAGAAACATAAATCCCTGATTCCTTCATTCATGTGTGAGATCTTCCAGAGGCCACTCAGGACTCAGTGCCCCAGCACTGCACTGTTTTCTGTGCAAGTATTCAGAGTACAAAGGGCTCAGTGGCTACCAAGAGGATATAAGGAAAATGATGTGACAGGAACCAGAGAGCTTGCTTTCCCTTAGGAGAGGATACTCACTTTCTATCCCACCATTACACATCTCAGAAACAATCAGACTTTTGGTTCTTAAAACAGAGATGATGAATGCATTTATTAGGACACAAGAAGAGTACAGGAGAGTATCTAGAAGATTTAGTACAAAAGTAACTGAGAAGCATAATAACAGATGAAGTTTAAAAGTGAAGTATGAAGAAACATACTGCAAAGAACTGTTGAAGACAACTCAGCCACAAATGGGTTTTAAAATAGTTGTCACCTCCTGGAGGAACTGTTTCAAAATAAGTGCAGACTCCTGCCTTTTGCTCTGCCTCTAGCACCATTCAGGAAAGATTAATGTTAAGCTACAGAGAAGACAGAATATTATGTTATTTCATAATCCTTGTGTATCTTGCATTTAGTTTTGTTCAGCACATTTCAAAAGGAACAAAAAGCAAAAAAGTATAGAAAAGAGCAACAATTATTAAAAACAGGGGATTAGTTACGCCCCAAGAAAGATACGTGAAAACTGAACTTGTTCTTTCTGGGAAAAAAACCCAACCAAACCAAACGAAACAAACCCCCTCACAAACAAACAAACCCCCCCAGACCCCCTCCACACCCCCCAAAACTATAAGCTACAATTTAGGAATGAGTACAAAACACATTTACTACAGAAAAGTTTCATCAGTCATTTGTATCATGTATCTGTAAACCCCTGAATGAAAAAGCTCTGGGACTTTCTGTTTGGTCAAATTCACCAGACAAAAGAAGAAACTGAGAAAGTACACTCTAATTTACTTGTTTAGTTTTCTGCTTGGAATATGATGAAGGCAGAGTTTAATATCATTTAAAAAAAAGGCTTAGAGACATATCCTAGGAGCATAAGAAAAACATCTGCAATGCTAGTAGTTTGGATTAAGTTTTCTCAGTGCTCTGAGATGTCATACTTCAGGATAATAAGCTCACCCTGGGCAGTTTTTAGTGCCCGCAAAGCACCTGGCATTGATCATTGTCAGAAACAGTGCTAAACCACTAATCTGCTCTGATAGAACACTTGACTCGTTCCTAAAGTCATATGTAAAAACAAGCAGACAATGAAGCTGGGATATTAAAACCTGATTCTAAAACTACCAGCCAGGTGATTACTTGGTTACAGAAGTGTTGAAAACTTGACAGCGAGTCACAACAGGCAGCAAACCTAGCATAAGACCTCTGCAGGGAGGAATCCCACCTCTCCACTGACAGAAACATCCGATGGGTGCTACCACCAGCAGCAGTGATTTCTTCTCAGTGAAGAAGACGGCCTGTAGATCTACGAATCATGAACATTTTGTCTCGTGACTTGGTCACGCTTCACATTCAATAGCTCCTCCTGCTGCTATACACAGAGCCCTCGTAGCTCTGCAGAGCATTAAGCCTGCCATAGCATGCTAGTTTTATTTCTATGGGAGAACAGAGCTAAATTTGCCAGTTTATGGCCTTATTTCTACTTACGTTATAAATAGTTTCTCCTTTGAAAATCCTAAGGTAAGCAAAGCTTTTATTTTTTAAGACTCTCATCTGAATTGTGGGGCCATGCTAGTGCTCTTATTTCATGAAAGGTCCTCCAGTCTGGCCTATACCTTAAATACAAGAACTGTGTAGGCTTTAGTAGATTACATTAGATCATCATTACATAAGGAGACCCAACCATACAAATCTCCTTACAAAAGGAGTCTTAATTTGGAGCTTTTCTCAAGGCTAAGTTGATGCTTTGGAGACTAACTCGACAATATCTTCATTTAATTCTTACTCTACAGCTTGGATTATTCAGAAGATAATGTCCCAACTGATCACGTAAGTGAGAGGACAGTAACCTTTAGCTCCCACAGATACATCCCACAGATGTATTATCAATGTACACAATTGTCATCCCCTCCAAACAGGATATGGCTGAAATTCTTCCAACTGTTTGATTCATTAGAAAGAAAAATCATTTTTTTAAAAATTGAAAATGCGGCAGCTTTGACCAATTACTTGCCACCTAAAAATAGCAATTGAGGCCAGTAGAAATTACTGTTATTGTAGCATGTTTTTTTCTCAGATGGAATCAGACTCTCAGACAATGCTTAAAGCTATTTATTATACCTCTATTATTTTAAGCTTTCCAGTAAACCGTGGCAGACTCCACAATAGCATGAGACTAGCTTTAAAGTTAAAAACATAATGGACTTAATAAAAGGATATCCTTTTATTTGTCTTTCAGTTCTTGAGCCCTTAAAGTTAATTTTAAAGGTCTTTTCCAAAAGCAACAAAATTTGTTTTTAAGAAAAGCTGAACTTCTGACAAATTGCTGGATCCTGAATCTTTCAAATGTGAATGTCCTTGTGAGTTAACTTAATCAACTTTGGCCTTGAGTCCAAAAATGTTCTTTTTTTAAATTACAATCTTGAATCACCTATCTTTTTAGCCTACTTTCACTATGGGAACTGGCTTATAGGAATTCAGAATGAGTTTTCTGATAGTAAAACAGAAGTTGATGCAGTCCTATCCTGGGACAACTCCTGCATTTGGAAGTCCTTTCTTGCTATTCCACGCTTCATTGCAAATTACCTGACTTTATGCATTTTATGTTTTGTACTCACTACTCCTCTACAGTCATCCAAAAAAGATGCCCCTGTTGTGTTACTTGCCTCAAACCATGAACTGATTAGAGAGAAGTTGTATCCCACACTTCGGTCTATCTTATACTAAGGTCCAAGGCCTCATTACATTCTTCTGTGAGTCTACAGATAACTAGACATGTCAGTCTACAAGCAGCTACTAGAACAAACGCTTGAGCAGGGCAGTCCAGTATCTCAACGTAGAAAAGACAGGCACTGAATCAATGTTCTCAGCCTGGAGGTCTGTGTCTGTTTTAAGCTGACCAAGAGTGATTCTAAGCCTGGGTTGTCTTAATCTACCCAGCTCCCCACAGGTCAGATGCTGGGAATGAGGGAGACCTCTACCTACACCAGTCTTGGGGACACTTCATCATAAAACAAATGGGTACCAAACAAATCTCTATGCCTGTGACATAAATCCACACCATCAAAGATCGGACAAAGTACTTCTGTATTT